TTTTGCCTGTATCTGTAACCCAGGTTTCATTTATTTTACCTACTGAATGACCTTAACGGGAAATTCATCATTTCATTTCCCTCTCATCCCTCTCCCTCCGGCATATAGTTCAGCATTTCCACACTTGTTTTGCATGGGCAGATTTGCCACATTGCTCTGTCACTAGACTTGCTTAACAGCAGAAAGCTTTATATAGTCTGTCTGGACGAATTCACAAAATTGAGTCAGCAGGCTGGAAAGTATAATCCATCAGCTTAAGTGACATAAAAGGTCTTGATTAGTCCAGGAAAATGGATAGGACATGCTGAAGACTTTAATTTCATGCTGGTTATTTGCTGTTGGAAGCATCTTTCTGCTACTCCATTGTAGAATGGACAGTAATGTTAAATGTATGCATTTGCGTGTCACAGGATCCATATAATGATCTTAACTACATTTTGTCTTTTTGCAGATGACCACAGTGTAAACGCGAATTCCTATCATCTTCTCTGGAGACACTTTCTTCCAATGTGTGATTTCTCCTGCTACTCTGTTCCTTCATATGCTGTGTTTCTAGGGAAATGAAAGAACAAGAGTTTTGCTACAAACTGTTGATAGCAAGTGGATATTTCCCTAATTCTGAAACATGTTACTTTGAAGGGCTTCATTATCTTCTTGAAGGTTCAATGGAAAGAAAAGCACTCTATGCAGAGTGGAATTTGCAAATGGAAAATATCCAGATACACTCAAAGCATCAAGACTAGAATGAGATTCCTTTGGGAAAGGTGAGAAGCGTGGTAACATCTAGCAACTGTAGGTCATTGGCTAGATACATGGATATTTAAGTACCAATTTAATGTAGTGATGGTAAATTTGTTTTAGAGAATTCTTATGTGTTGTCTCTGCTTTAAATATGATTGGAAGTTTTCCATTACTATACCTGTGACATAATTCACAGTCAAGTTTATATCCGATGACATAATACTTTGTCAACATTAGCCATGCTACTACTGAGTAGGAGAAAAACACCTTATTTTCTTAAACTTGAAATTTGACATGTAGACAGACATAGAAATTTAAGGGGTTAACTTGTTTTATCATTATCAGTCTGTAGTCTATTACTCACAGAATTGAGAAAGGAGTAGAAAAAATAATAACTAAATAACTTAAATCATTCACCAGAGATAATAGGAGAGTCAAATGATCAAAACCCAAGTTTTGTGTAACTGCCTTGAGAACTTCATGTTTTTGCTGATTAATATGTATTTCTGACAAATTATATTTGCAAATGGTCCCGTGATCTCTTCTGTACTTTTTCCAGACACTTTTTGGATGGGTGAATTTTGGTGGAGTGTGCCATGCATTTTTTTCTTCTTCCTCATTAGCACTGACACAAACCAGTTGTTCCAGGGACTGGCTCTTGGGGTTTGCAGGGAGCTTTCACATAGGCTTTTATATGGCTGAACTTCATCTCTTCATCTTCACCACAACTATGTTCTTACATACGGGTTTTGCTTCTATTTGGGTGATAATTTTCTTAAAGTACAGCTTAAGTCTATGTAGTGCATTAAATGTAGTATGTACATATAACTCAGTGCTGCGTATAGACTGAAACGCTCTCTCCATTTTTACATAAGATAGCATTGGCTGGACTGGATTTTGGCTACTTTTTCATTGGAATGGTTGAGAAGCACAACATTTTTTAAGATGTCTTTAATTGCTGTGCTTTAAATGATTTTAAGTATTAAAATTCTAATATTAGTATTTAGTATAAAGATATATAAAGTTGCTGGCATTATGAATTAGTATAATATTTATCTCATTAAAATGTCTTTAAAATAAGATTAATAACATTATTTTCCTATTTGATTATTAAGATAACACTATTTCCTATTTCACTGTTTTGCCCTTATTCTGCTTATAATCAGAATCACTATGGCAGATTGAGAGAGCAGCTTGTGTTCTTACAAAATTGACCATTATAAGTTGTCAATGAACTAATCTGGCTTGAGAGATATGTAAATATATCTAGGATGGTGGTTTATCCTCAGACAGTACATGTACCACCTGGGACCAACTTTTCATTTTTAAGGAAAGAAAATTGTTCTGAAGTGACATTAAGTAAAGTCAATTTAGTCAAATTTGAAGTTTGTTTTTTTTTTTTTTTGGTGCCAGTTCTGGAGGTTTAACTCAGGGCCTGGGCACTGTCCCTGAGCTTCTTTTGCTCAAGGCTAGCACTCTACCACTTGAACCACAGCACCACTTCTGGCTTTTTGTGTTTATGTGGTACTAAGGAATCAAACCTAGGGCTTCATGCATGCTAGGCAAGTCTTAAAGAACAAAAATAGTGCTGTGTCACATCTGGCTATCCCAGATAGCACTTAAACAATTCTTTATTTACCTTTTAAATCACTCAGAGCATTTGCCTGAGTGATATCTTTTATTATTCATTTATTAAAAGCTAGGTGTGGTAGCACATTATATAATCCCAGGGCATAGCGGAGGCTGGAGGATTGTGAGATCTATACCAGCACAAGCAAATCTAGTGAGACCCTCTCTCTAACACCTCTAACTCATCCCTATAATTCTAGCTACTCAGAAGGCTAAGACACAGAAGATTGTGGTTTGAGACCAGCCCAAGCACTAATGTCCATGAGACCCCCCCATCTTCAAAATAATCATTAAAAAAGCAGGACTACAAGCATGGATCAGGTAGCAGAGTGACATTCAAGCAAGCACAAGGGGCTGAGTTTAAACCCAGTACTAGCAAAAATAAATAAATAAATGAAAACAAAATAGCAGTGGGTACCTCAAATGGTGGTTTGCCTAACAACTATGAGTCTCCTGGGTTCAACCCTAGTATTGCAAAAAAAAATTCTTATTTTTTTAAATGGTCAGATATATATTAAGAACCTGCCATGAGCCAGCATTAGTCATAAATGTTTGGGAAACATCAGTAAACAAAGTATCTGTGCTCTTATAATCTCAAGATGTTAAGTCACTGAACCATATTTTCTAGTGCAGTCCCCTTACTTATTAAAGCTTAAGATTTTGCCAAGTAAACATAGCCAAAAGCCCCAAATAATATAAATGTCTTGTTGTTGTTTTTTTAAATCCTCAACTGCAGAGAAATAACATTTAAACTAGTTGCAGGAAGGCTAATCAATATTGTTTTTATAGCCTACTAAGATAAATTTATATAGCTCTTAAATAATATGACTCAGTGATACTCAGCTTCCATATGTTAACAAAGTAACTTCTAGCTCTGTGCTTGCTGTACTCACTGAGAACTTGAAATGATCTACATTGATCAAACATACATAAACTTACTTAAGTTACACTGGATATACAAAGAACATAGGCGGTCTAAAGGGTAGAAGCTTTTTATGAAATACCTATTATCAAATTCATGCATTCTTCTGTAATATCCATAATTCTATTACAATACATTAAATACCTGTTTGTGTGTTTGCAGCCTTTCCCTATTTCTTGCTCATGAAGTCTTGATATTTTTGCTGTTATGGTTGATTATCTTACCGTTATAGCACACATTTGAGAGGCCGAAATGGGCATGGCTGGCTATAGGAGGCTTGGACCCAGGGTCAGGCTCCAGAATGAAAGTGAGAACCTCAATCTACCTTTAATGCTTTCCATTGTTGTTTTACCTTTCTCACCTCATTTTTAAGTAATTGCCTTTTTGAATCCTTCCCATCCCCAAATACACATACCTTCTCTAATCTAGTAAATCATGTCCCTTCCGAACCTAATTTTGTAATTCCCTTTCCCAGAAAGCCTCTCGGCACTAGAACCATTCATCCTCTGAAGTATAAATGTATTCACCTTACTATGATAATTAGCTAATGAAATTAGGTAGCCAAACCTCTAAAAAAACGTTTCACAGTAATAAAATGACATCACTGTATCAAGAATGAGCTGAGATTTTCCATACATTTATTGTCACCTTCTATTTGGGGCTACATAATGTGCAGCTGAAATTGACTATAGGCAGGACTTAACACTGAAGCAACTATGCCCATCCTTAAAACTCAGCAGAGAGCCAGGCATGGTGGCTCATTCCTGTTAATCTAGCTATGCAAAGGCTGAGATCTAAGGATTGAAATTTGAAGCCAGACTGGGCACAGATGTCCATGAAACAGACTATCTCCCATTAACTAGCAGAAAAGCAGGCCTGGAGGTGTGTTTCAAGTGGTCAAGGGTCTGCCTTGTAATTCTGAGCTCAAGACTGAATCAAAACCCCACTATTGTCAAAGAAACAAAAATCAGCAGAGGAAAGGCCTTAACCAATACACATGAGTAAGTTAAAATGCTTATTCCGTCCATAGCGGGTATGGTCTGTGTTGTAACATGTAGGGACAGACATGGACTATGAGTTCTGTTTCATGGCCCACTCTTAGTTTCTGCGACATCTGTAAGAATGGGTTAGAGTAGATGTAGTGACAAGGTGGCTCCTTTGGCCAAGCGACTAAGTGTGTGATAAAGAACTCTGATAGGAAAAAATGTCATGGCCATGGTGTGCCTACAATTTCTGTATCCTTAGAAAAACCAAACGCCCTAAGCCTGAAAGGAATGAGCTCTGAGCAGGGTTTCTGGCTCTGGAGGAGAATGCCATCCCCACGTGGGATGAGTTAGTTAGGAACTGAGGTTTTCCAGTTGGTCCAGCTAAGACCGTGTTGTGGCAACACTGGGATCAGCTCTCCAAGTAGATTTTAAAGCTTCATGAAAAACATCTTTCTTTCATTCAACGATATGTTTGGTCAGTAGCTCACTTCAGCAAGTATGTGCAACTGTCAAAGCAGAGGACTGGCTTCTAGAGCAGAACAGCTCACCTACCCTCCTGAGCTTCAAGGATGAGTTTCTCATGGTCTCATCCTGGTATTGCCAGCTCCCTGTTTCATGGTAGGCATCAGAAATGGATTTGTAACCAATTTTTACCATGGTCCTATGCCCAAAAGAGTTACCAACCCAGTGCCAAAAGAAAAAAAATATTTTAAGAAAATTCATTTTTCACACAGTTTTGATACATGTATTTATTATGCTTTAAAAGCAACGTTACCTAATTTTATTTAAAATAAATGTTTTCCAATTTCAGAATACTTACAATTTATAGTTTTAAGATTAGATTCACTTTGGGAGATGTTGGAAGCAAATACATTCATAGCTGTGTAATGACCTCATGGTCATTCAGTCCCTTCCAGACAGACAATAGCAACAGCAAATCCTGCTGTGCAGCTCAAGGGCAGTGTGGGCAGCAGAGGTACAGCATATCACCAAAAATAGGGCCATTAGAACCAAGATCAGCAGAACAACAGTGTGGACACAGCCTGAAATTAACATGACCTTCTAAAGCTCTTGGTGATACAAAAATCATATAGTCCTAATGCCAAAACAAAAAGGTCTTTGGAGTTTTACCCATGACAGCAGTTGACAGCACAGTCAATAAGCATTTACACCAAATGTACTCATTACCGGCCAATAGCAAAGGGTCAGCTCAAGACCAAGCTCACAGTCATAAGTAACATCCTGGGTAAGTAAGGGCATATTTAACTAAACCACAAAGATTCCACAGAACAGTTTGATCTTAGAAAATAAGAGAACTCTTTTTGTTCCCAAATAATAGTCAGAACCTCTTGTTATTAGAGAAAAGCCTCAAAGTTATTGAGTCAAAAGCCACAAATCACTGAATCAAAAGCCACACAACTGAACCACTGTAATGTTTCATTTTAATCACAAAGCTCCTGTTTGAGCAGTTATCTCAATTGACTTCAATTAAAACATGTCTACCACCTAACACCTTTTGGGTTCATGGTACTTCTTACTTGCAAGCACCTCCTACCCACATGGCTTGACAGGTCTGTGGGGGAGGGGCATAGCCACAGGACTAGTTACCTACTCACCATCCTCTTCCTACGGTATCTGGAACTTGGGAACAGCTTGGTTGCTGCCTGGTGCTGCTAAGGGGCTCTGGCTATGGTTTCACCAGAACTGCTGGCCTGGGAATGGTTGAAGCACTCAGACTAAAAGCAAAAATCAAAGTACCAGAGGCTTCTGGCATGAGTGAGGTGCCATAAAAGAGGAAAGCAGCAGTTTGTGCTGATGGGGAAAAAGGAAATTGCCGCTTTAATGTGGTAGCATTTGTGTAGTTGAGAATTTTGCTCATTACATAAAATGTAGCTTCAAAGAAGTCCATTTGTGCATGCGTGTGTGTGCACATGTGCTTAATATCATAAATCCTAATATACCTTTATCTCCTCCAAGGAATAATACGATAAACTAGGTGCAATTCCTAGAAAATTCTGCTCTTTCTTTTCTGAATTCTCTTTCTAAATTAACCATGAGTTACTTCCCCAAGACAAGAACATGATGAGCCTCAATTTTAAATAAAATGGCCTTTTCTTATTATTGAACTGTGGACCCCACCAAAACTATAGAATAGAATATTTGAAGGTATCTGGAGCAATCCAGGAGTCCCAAAGAGGACAAATAACTTGGTCTAGATTTCTAATGGGTTTAAAAACAGATTGGTTGTAGCAGTTCCCATAACATCTTAATAACTGGTAGCTTAAAGCATTTTAAGTTTTGTCTTTATCCTAGAAGCTGAAAAATAACTTCTAACAGAACTGTAATAGTACACACCTTCATTCTTTAGACTGATTAATTTGGCTAATTTATACTTAGTAACTTCATGTCTGGTTCATCTTCTGTAGACAAATGGCAAAGTTCTAGCTTCAATGCCAGAAATATGAGGCGTTTTCTGACTTACAGTGGAAACATGAAAACTGCATAGTATGCCAGCACTCATTTTCCCAGCTAAAGGGGAAGAGGCAGATAGTGAAACATCTGAGAAAAGAGGCTGGACTAAAGGGATATAGAAAAAGGAAAAATTTTCAAAAGTATAACTATATCACATATACATTTTGGTCACCAAACATATCTTAAACAGATTCCCTGATAAAATCTAATCAGAATTGGCTTATTATATTAACAGTTGTTAACTACTATAATTTTAAAGAGTTACACTGTTAGGTGAGGATGGTAAGAGACATTTTAAACACTCAACCATAAGTGCATATAACTTTTCAAACATTCAGACTAAATCTATATTGGAAGTCTTGAAAATCACACTGTTTGCTTCTAAAGACAGTCTCAACCCCTATGGACAGACTATATAACAGCTTAATTTACAAATGCATACAAGCAGATCACTATAAATTGAAAATTCATAAAACAAATCATGAAGATCACACAGTTATATGCTAGGATTGATAACTATTTCTTTTACATCAAATTATACAATGCACGAGGTAAATATTTCTCACATTATGGAGGGAGATTTGTTTTATTTCTATTTTTGCCAAAGAAATAAGATTTGTCCTGTGTGCACAATGAAGAAAAGTCCAGTAACACTGAAATGATAAGTGTAAAATATACATCACTACCAGATAGAAATACACATGTTCTTCATAACCATTTTCCACAATTAAATAGGTAAGTGATTTACATCTTGGAATTTAAGACCATTATAACAATCCATCAAGATTCTTATGGACAGTTTGATTTTCCTTTCCATTGTCAGAATCTCCTTGAGGTGTGTACTGGACTTGGTATTCCTGGAGGATTTTAAATACATCATGGTGTCCAAAGTGCAGCGCTTCATCCATGGGGGTGTTGTTCCACCTAAGCAAGTGGCACAGTATGGACAGGATCATTAGGTAATTTATGAACGAAGACGGTCAACTAGCATCCTAGGTTTTAAATATATGTTAAATGTTTTAAATTGCCCAATTTAGACATTTGAGCAACACTACAAGTGAAAATAAATAGCAGAAATGGATTTAAAGTTAAAAGAGTGGTGTCAGAGACAAGGTGGGACATTGAGGAGGAAGAGAACTGTTAAAGAACCTTGTTTACTATCGAGTTGACAGAATACTGCCTCTCTAGGTCATCAAGTTTAACTTCATGAAAAACACAAACTCTCTCTTTTTAAATAAAATTTTCAAAGAAATTCTAGTACACAATGTGTACCACATTAGCCTTTGGCAGAAAATTTATGTTCCTAGGAACTAAAAAGAAAAATCAATAAATCCCAGAAGTCTAGAAATTGGAAGTCACATATTGGAAGTCAGATTTTCAGCATGTCCAGCAAGGATGGGAAGCTGCTGGCTCAACTCAACCACAACCTGAAGAAATAACTAGAAGACTAACTCCCCTTTACTCCTAACTGTGCTTTGGAGGGCTTTATTGTTTGTTGAGTTTGGTGGATGAAAATTCCAGGATAAGGTATATAAATTTAAGCTTTTTGCAGAAGGAGACATCACTATAAAACCAGCACTATAAAACTCTCAGGCCCAGTGAAACACAGGTGAGTTCTCTAATCTTGGCAGAGGCCCGGCACCCTACCCTTTCTCTGCTACTCATTAACTTCTCCACAGCTGCTGCTCTCTTTCTCGACTGGTTATAGCCACTGCACCACCTTTCTTGGTTTCCTTCTCTGTTTTGAACCTTTTAACTTTCAGTGTGGTGACAATATGAACCAAAAGGTGCTTAAAATATTCTGGTTCTTAAACATTTTTGATAGCCTGGTCCTGATTTTCAAAAGCAGGTAAGTGTCCTTTTACTTTGATACTGGACTTCGTCAGTTTAGGAGTCAGTGGCATCATGTATAGACTTAAATCATTTTCAGCAATATGTTTGTGTCACTGTTTTAGAAAGCCATCTTCATATTACTTTCTTTTAAAACAACACTTCATGAACTAATAAAAAAACATCAGCTTTAAAGAATAATACCATTCAGTAATATTTTACAATTGATTCTAGCTTTCATTCTGTACTAGTAGATGAACATAAAGTTACCAAGTTAGTTATTCAGCTAACACCTGTCAGATGGGTAGTTTATTTTTATATTCCTATAGGCCTTACGAAGGGAAGAAAATTCAAGAAATACAAAACAGTATTTCCATCATGAATTAGTGTTTTGGGGGAGATTAGAAGCACCAACGGAAACACTCAGGTTTCTTGCTCTAGAAATTGCTAGGATGGGCATATCATATTGGGATAACTGGGAGGACTATCACCATAACTCGAGGTTTTGGAATCCTTCCAATAAAGAATTGAAATAATGATTCTTTGTAACAACTATATAAATAAAATTGGGTAGCCAAAGTATTACTAAACTTACAAAATTGAAAAGTTTCAAGACACTGATATTGAGACTTCTCTTGTCTTACAAGCTAGACTAACAATATCCAGACCAGAATTTAAAGAAATAGAGCTCAGGGCTGGGAAGGTGGCTCAGTGGTAGAATGCTTGCCTTGCATGCATGAGGCCCTGGGTTCGATTCCTCAGCACCACATAAGCAGAAAAAAAAAGCCGGAAGTGGCACTGTGGCTCAAGTGGTAGAGCGCTAGCCTTGAGCTGAAGGGCTGAGGGACAGCGCCCAGGCCCAGAGTTCAGGCCCCACGATCGGACCAAAAAAAAAAAAAAAAAAGAAATAGAGCTCAGCTGAACCAATCTAGTTACTAAAGTGTTATCAACTTGCTCCAAATTTAGTGCGCTGCATTTTTCAAATAAGAAATCCAAACTCTTTAACATACATACCAAACCTCTCCATGAAGTGTTTTATTTCCCTTGCATTCAGAACTTTTATTCTGATTGCTCACTGTTGGCTCACCCACTCTGTTCCATTATATAACCTCCAAGTATACGAGGAAAGAGTTTACTGTGCATATACCTCTGAACTTTGGTTGTATTCTTACCCTGGCCCTAGCCAGCAGGTGGAGAGCTTTGCCACCGGATAAATAGCAGTTTACCATGTAGACCAGGAGAAAGAAGCAGAAAACACACCAAGTAGATAGATTTCTCCTACTACAGATAAAGTGCTCTTCTTCCTATGCTCCTAAATCTCCTCTTTTCCTGAAGTACTGATTAAAATTCAACCTCCACAAAGTCATTTAAAATTGATTCCACTCAACTCCAGAAATAACAAGCTCCAATATATTCATTTTAGAGTTCTTTAACTTCAGCTTTCTTACAGATTCTTACATGCTTTTGGAAATGTTTGTTCACCCTGCATATTGAAAAGCCTCATGAGAACAGATTTTTTTTTCTTTTCAAATACCAAAAAAAAAATCCTCTCTTCTTCATACAGTGTGTTCATAGATAGTCAGATCTGAACATTTCTAAACAGGAAACCGCTGGTAGATAAGAGAGAGGATATGAGGCAAAATGATATATCTAACAGAGACAAGGTATTGTTTTTTGAGACAACATAGCAGACTCAAGAATGTCTTCAATCATTTGAACACTGATCCTGTGTAATAAAATACCTACTTTCCAATTATGTCAGAAGGTAACCTAAGCACTCACCTGTCCTTGGGGAAAGGATTTACTTTGCAAGCTTCCAGCAAAAACTTAACCACTTCCACATGACCTGTAACCACACACACCCACAGACAGAAAAAATAGACTTTAGTATGGAATTTTAAACAAATTAAATCTTGTGGGGGAGGAGAGTGAACATAGGTGTTATCCATTACCCTCTGCAGCAGCTACATGGAGGGCTGTTCTAGAATCATAGTCTCTCTGTTCCATGTCCATGGCTGACAATGCAAATCTGAAAATTCACAAGCATAGCTATTCATTATACATTTTAATACATTTAATTCACATTTACAACTTTTACTCCATCGGTTCAGTCTAAGGGCCTGTCAGGTGTCATCCCTCACTGATCTCATTAAAGGTAATTAGAACTATGGTTCATCTCCCTTATACAGATGAGCTTGGTAAATGCCACTTCACCTCTGCCTTAGCTTTGCTACCTTGGGGAATATACAACATTGTCTCACAGGATTAAGCTGAACCACATTATTATTTGATCTAAAAAATAATGGTATTCTATTAATTCAAAATTTATGTCTCAAGCAAGAAATCGGTACTAACATTCTTTAAGCTGACATTTTAGCCTACAGTTAACAGATACTCATGGAGACTTTAAAAACAGAATGAGCCACTGGTGGCAAACGCTTAGCTACTCAGGAGGCTGAGATCTGAGGATCATGGTTCAAGGCAGTACTGGCAGAAAAAGTCTATGAGACTCATCTCCAATTAACTACTAAGTTCATGACCAATAACAACAAAAATAACAGATGGGGGAATTAAGCCTACAGCTTTGTCACTCTAAAGGTTGGCTGCAACTCTACAAGAAACCTTATATTAGGTATATGGTATTATACAGTGATTTGTAGGATACCAAAACCCTAATCCTCCAGTCCACCAGAGATAAGGAGTAGAAATGGAAAATGGGAGGGAATTGTGTGATTACAGTAAACCACTAACTAGTCAGCTTAGTTGGGTAGTTAACAATTGGGCAAAAAGTGATATTGGCTTTTATAGGAAGTAGAAAAAGACAACACTGGACAGAAGCTGGTCTAAGGCATTGGAAGTAGAGAGGTCTTTTTTTAATGTTTGGATTGTTTTTATTAGAGGAAAATTGGACATGAATTCTTAGCCATAAAATGGCTGCTCACCCAGAAGCAAATTTATAAAGAACAGAAAGCTATATACAAGTCAATTCACCCTTGTTAACATACCTTCGAAGGGCAGACACATCTCCAGTATATGCAGCAAACAAAAGGTTTATCACTGACTTGACCTGCAAAGAAAAGAAAAGAAACATAGAGTCCAACTGTCACTTAGTGATTTCCATGTACTCTGAACACTTCAGCTGGCAAAAAAAGATCTCAAATTCACACCTACAACCAAAGCACACATGTGGTATTTTTTTTGGTCAGCCGTGGGGCTTGAACTTTGGGCCTGGGCGCTGTCCCTCAGCTCTTCAGCTCAAGGCGAGCGCTCTACCACTTGAGCTATAGCGCCACTTCCGGTTTTTCTGGTGGTTATTGGAGATAGGAGTCGCACGGTCTCTCCTGCCCGGGCTGGCTTTGAACCGCCATCCTCAGATCTCAGCCTCCTGAGTAGCTAGGATTACAGGCGTGAGCCACCAGCGCCCGGCTATGTGGTATTTTTTTAACCAGGATTGTGAAGGAAAAGTCAATAATAAAGATAACTGTCTGAGGGAAAGAATGGAAAGATGGTAGCAGCTGGCACAAAAACCTGAATGCTCCCAATCTGTGAAATTTACAGTTGGAACAACTGAAAATTCTTTAGAACACTTCTCATTAGAAAGTACAGTGCACAACTGTATACTGAAAACTTCCTATCACATCATTATTACAAACTAAATTATGCCACGTAAATGTCTCATCCATCCAAGTAGACACTTCCTTCACCTATGGCTTCCTTATACATATTAAGAGGTAAAAATTTAATGGTTTTCAACCTAAGAATAGAGCTGTACTTCACTGGATAATATTGTTTTTCCCAGATGATAAAAATTAGGGCATTCTCAGATACTATTGTAAGCCATAAATGGTGGGAAAATTCACTAAATTTTAAATCACTGCTATTGAGTACTCCAAGACTCAAAATGTATTTGCTTTTGACAGCTATCTACTTCTCATTCTAGTAGTTAAAGGAGAAAGGTAGTTATCATGAAGGCCACCCAATATCTATCTGCCACCATGAAGACTTTCCTCAATCCTGTGAATGAAAAACTGAACTAATGTCTATAAACAATGCATATATCCCAAATTGTATTTATTTATTTAGGTAATACTGGAGTTTGAGCTCATGGTCTCATGCTTGCTAGGCTAGATAGAGCTCTATCACTTGATTTATGCTGCTAGCCTTGCTTTTTGATGGTTATTTGGGAGATTGAGTCTAACAAATTGTTTCTGCCCAGTTTGGCTTTGAACTACAATTATCTATATGTCAGCTTCCAGGGTCTAGCATAAGCGACTGACATCAAGCATACATTCCAAATTTTGTCTTACAATGTGAATGTCAGCATTCATCATTTAATAAGCAAAGCTTATTAGACTGGAGGAAAAGAAAATAGGCAAGGTCTTCAGGAACATGACCAGAACCCTGAAGCTGTGCTTCAGTACCTTAAAACAGACATTCTCCTTTTGCACTGCGAGTAGCCTTTCCCCATTTGTTTCTATTTGGAGCTGACTGTAGTTGGATTTCCTTGATAAAATATTTTCGAAATGTGTTTCAAAGATACAACTACAAGAGTCTCCATGATGTAAAGGTCTTGTTTGATATGCTCTTAAAAATAATGAATTTCATGTACGCATTATCCTGCCCATGCAATTGTAACCCCTCTGTACAGTATGTTCACAAATAAAATTAAATTAAAAAAAAATAATGAATTTCAGTCAGGCGCCCGTGGCTCATGCCTGTAATCCTAGCTACTCAGGAGGCTGAGATCTGAGGATCGCAGTTCAAAGCCAGTTCGTGATACTCTTATCTCCAATAAGCCATCAGAAATGGTGCTGTGGCTCAAGCGGTAGAGCGTTCTCCTTGAGAAGAAGAGCTGAGGGACAGCGACCAAGCCCAGAGTTCAAGCCCCACGACTGATTCCCCCCCCCAAAAAAATTGAATTTCTTCCTGAAAACTCAGAAGCATATGATGAGGTTCTATAGAATTCGTCCCAAACTTGCCTAACTAGGTACTTTTAGTAAAAAGTGTTGTTACTGATAGTTTTGGTTATCACTTAAAAAAAAACACAAAATATCAATCCGAGTCCTTCATGTATTTAGCTTCCTTTCTGTTGTCTGTTACTACTTCTGCCAGCCTCTATCCTGGAGGCAATCCCTCTTAGACTAGAACAGCATTCTCAGGTGGGGAAGGAGAAAACACTTTGGAGAGCATGTTCTGAGAGTGTCTCTTCATGTCTAGTCGTCCACTCCTACAATTCAAATCCTTCAGATATATTTAGGGAAAGGAATTAAGCACAGAGATTTTTAGTCTCCAAGTGACTCTGATGTGCTCCTTAAAAGTGATTTTAACTTCTGGTGTAATCAATTCTCATTCTCTCCTCTCTTCTTTCTCCTCTCCTCCTCATCTCTAACTCTTCACTACACTTGACCCTATTGTTTCTCCCATTCAGTGCATATTTCTGAAAGTAGTTTATATGATTAACTTCCTGAAAATTACCTTTATACACACTGCCACCTCCAATGAACGCTCTCAAAAGCTCCAGCAGCATTCTCGAACCATCTCAGCTCTCTCAGCACTGCCCACCTTCACAGTGCTTGCTGTGCAGCCGCACTGCCCCCTGCCCAGCCACCCACTCATTCCCCAAAGGCAGTCTCCATCTTCTTTTGTCATCATAATGTCCTTCAAAAGTTTCATAAGTTCCTCTGGGCAGAATGACTTCCCTATCTAAACTTTTGATCTAAACTCCAACCCTACTCCTCCACCTGTCATTATGACATTTCAAACTCAAAACCAGTAACAGCTCTGGTAGCTCTCCAACCTGGTTCGAGAAGTCCATCACCACCTCCCTACTAGACATGGCCTCTGGGAACTTCGGTAGGGATCTCAGGCTTGTGTCCAAAACAGACCTACATTTGCTTTGCTCACCCACTCAATGGTTAGTGCTTCTAGTCTTTCCTATTTGTGGATGACTCTACAAATCACCCATTTGCTCATTTTGGAACCCTGGGAATCATCTAGGGCTGCCATAGTTGCTTATATAGGCTGAGTTGTCCACAAGGCCGCCAAGCTATAGCCAAGTCAAAAGTGTCTGCCATTAGTTCTTCCCGCGAAGGTGTTCAAAACCCAGATGTATTTGCTGGGAGGAAAGGCACTTTCTTCACTCTAAGGTGCTGGGGATCTGCTTCTGCCCCAAATAAAGTTTAATCCCACAAATCCATCGTATAAATCATGTTTCTTGACTCTGTATTCACAATCTACACCTAATTCATCAAAACGTACTTTGCTCCTCCTCCAAAATGTGTGCAGGCCCATCAATGTTCAGCATCTCTGTCACTTCTGCTCCAGGCCTTAAATACAACCTTATCACACATGGAGTAACTGGGGCAGCCTAACACCATCCCATCATAGAGCATTAGCCACTCCCCCCCCCCCGACCTCCCTGATGACTTGTCATCGTATCTACAGTAACATTGAAGCTATCTCTCATGGCTTGTAGACCCTAACTCTTGCCTGGTTACACTGCTCATCTCATTCCTCACCACACCTCCCCTTTAGGCATTACTGCAGTTGGTGGTTACCATGGGTCTGAGGCACTCAGAACCTCCACTGTTGCCAGGGATGCTATTTTGCCAGACAGTAAGCAGGCTCCCTCAATTGTTACACAGATCCTAAAACACCCCCTCCCTCACTTTATCACTCCTTATCCCTTACCTTGGTATTTCTCTTCAGGACAACTGTGGTTACTCAATGATCTCCCTTCCCTGAACTTGTTAAGTTCCTGTAGGGAAAGATCACTGTCTTTTCCTTCTCTTATGTAACCAAGTGCCTGCCATGTATAATATTAAATATCTACTGGTGAAATGAAAATTCCCAAAACATCTATTCAATTTGAAGATTAAATTGTAATCATTAATTGCCTCACTTTCTTTTATATATACTAAATTTTTACCAGATTTACCCAATCGTTTCACCAAAAACCAAAAAACCAAAAACCCCCACAACCTTCCCTCATACTTCTAATCATTCCAAAACTTTGCTTACTGAACCTTTCTTAGCAGGGGAGTGTCAAGAAACTCTAAAATTCATCCCTGATAAAATTGAAATCCTTGCATTCAAGGTTCTCCAGTTTGTTATTTTTCTGTCCCAACTCTATAGCAAAAATCAATCTCAGTGCTCTTGTTTAGCCTTGATGTCTCAGTTCTTCTCTCCTTTGAGAATACCCAGACTCCTAAGCAAATCTCTTCTCTGCCCTTCAAGCCTAGTTTGAAATTCCCTTTCTTACTGCCACACTTTCCCAGGTCAAACCAGCCCTGCATTCATTACCCACTTAGTTTATTCTGTTTTGACATGTGCTTAGGACATGATCATCAACCAGTTACCATCTCTCCAATGACAGCCCTAACTACAGCTTCTTCACTTCTGAGCCGCAATGCATATTATTTCCTGAAAGAACCTTTCCTTTACCTAAATCTCACTGAAATGTCATTCTGACCCCTCCTCTGTGAATGCTGCTCCAGTCTCTTAAATTGGAAGTAATCTCTTGTATTTCTTTCCCTCACTATGGTTCTATCCCACATAAGTACAAGTTATATTTCTGTATCTCATCTCCTAATTACTGAAGAAAACTTAGATTCTGATATGCATACCATTAGTACATTACCCATAGCTCTTATAAAATACATCAGCTCTTCTAAGAAGTATTTTTTTATGTTTCAGTGACTATATATGTGAACTCCATACCTTTTAAATCTCTGAATCAAGCTTCTTTGAATATTACATTCATTCAATTTAGTCACTAAATTTCTGTCAGGAATGGTGGCAGCCCCCTGTAACATGGGAAGTTGAAGACGGAGGATCTCAACTTTGATGTCACCCTGGATTCAGATTCTGTCCAACCCCCCCCCCCAAAACAAAAATAGCCCATCACTGGTGGCTCACGCCTGTAATCCTAGCCACTCAGGAGGCTGAGATCTAAGGATTGCAGTTTGAAGCCAGCCTGGGTAGGAAAGTCTGTGAGATTCTTATCTTTAATGAACCACTAGAAAAATGGAAGTGGAACTGTGGCCCAAGTGGCAGCTCAGGGACAGT